GACTAGTTGCCTTCCCTCTAGTCTTACACTGCTAAATTAGGGACGGCTAGCACAGATAGCCCTCGTGTAGCTTTGCACAAAATTCAAAACAAACAAACAAATTGTTCTAAAAGTATAAGTTTCTAATTGTAACTGTTATTGTACATTTGTAATTAAATTTTATTATTTTCAAGGTGTTCATGGTGTTTTTACTAATCATTTTAATCAGGAGTAATTACTTTTTTCTGATCTAATATTAGTATGATATGAAAAAAGTGGTGATCAGAAACGCAAACAAAGACAAGAAGAGATAAAAAAGTTGAAACCTTTGACTAAAATTAGCACTTTTTTTTAAAAATCATGAAAAGAAAGTGTAGTGATTTAGAAGCAGGTACATCTGATACACAGAATGAAAAATAAACTGATATTACTGTTTTACAGTCACCATACCCATCAGATCAACCAAAGGCCACTCAACCTTCTCCTGCAAAAAATTCTTAACATTCAATCCTCAAATGCTCCAGAAGAAAGTAGTACTACATTGTTTGAACAAGAAACTTAAAATATTAGGTCGTACATTTAAGCCCTACATATATAATATTAAATGTAATTCCACTAGCGAGCCCTACCGGTAGTGAATGAAATTATCAAGTTGGTAATTTCAGGGTTAAACAAAGTCGAACATTGAGCGTTATAAACTTCACTCAATGTACAAGGTGTCCCCAAAACTTGTTGCCATTGTAACATTAGGGCGAAGTAACACACGTTTTCTTGTTACTTTGTAAGATATTTAGATAATAGCTCTGAGCATTGATGGTTGTGTGAAGGTAATCTGGATTAAATGTCTTCAGTACTTTAAGAGTTTTAATAGGCCCAGCAAAGGCAGGTGGTTAGGAGGCGCTCGACTCGTAATCTGCGGGTCGCGGGTTCGAATGCCCGTCCCACCAAACATGCTCGCCCTTTCAGCAGTGGGGGCGTTATAATGTTACGATCAATCCCGCTATTCATTGGTAAAATAGTAGCCCAAGAGTTGGCGGTGAGTGGTGATGACTAGCTGCCTTCCCACTGCTAAATAAGGGATGGCTAGCGCAGATAGCCCTCGTGCGGCTTTGCGCGAAATTCAGAAACAAACAGTTTTAATGGCAGACGTTTGGAGCACATCTTGGCAACCGGCTTTTGGAACACCCTGTAAACAGATAGATATTTTTGTTTGTTTTTTTTTCATTGAAATCTTCTTTTTTTGTCATGCCTGTATACCCAGAGTAAATATAAATATAAATTCAAAAATAATTAACACGGGCACAATTTGTTTGTTTTTTTTTAAATCGGGAACTATGCTAATTAAAATACGATATTTAGACGTGGTTGTTTAGATCTTGATGTGAAACATCGAACGTTTACACATGATAACATACCAACGTCAGCGAAAATTTAAATTTTTTTTTATCATTTTGCGTCATCGACTTTATGCAAACACGTTATCGAAGTTTACTGATGCTGTGATCCAACTGTGTGTGTTTGAAGAACCATATTAGCTATAACGAAGTCCGGGTGATATGGAGATATTACCCTTTTGTTTCGAATTGTTCTGGCTAAATAAGAGTGAAAGAATAAAACGCTAATTTATTTAGTGCGCAGAAATGTAATATTTAATTCTAATACCCAGTTTGATTGTGCACAAAATATTTTGTTTTCTTGAACGAAAAAAAAAATCACATAAGTATTTTTTATAAGATCTAACTTGCCCAGTATTACGTTACTTACGTAGAAAAGCAAAATAATAATGACTGTTGTATATACTGAAATGCCTATTTATACAAAGGCATTATATAGAAATAATTGAATATTTTATTCCAATAGCATTTGCTTGTTTGTTTTAAAGTAAAGCCACATTGGGTCGTATCCACCACAGGGTATCGAATCCCGAATTTTAGCGTTGTCAATACATAAATTTACCGCTGTCCTACTGGGAGGTGTTTGTATGTTTATTTTAGAACGAAGTCACATTGGTCTAGCTGCCTTGTCCACTGGAAGGAATCGAACCCCGGATTTTAGTGTTGTGAGTATGTAAACTTACTGCTGTCCCACCGGAGGGACCGAAGAACAGTTGCATCTGGTTTATTTGTTATATATATATATGTATGTATGTATATATATATATTACTGTGCACAGATTTAAATAATTTTCAAAGTTTGCCTACAAGGATGTACTTTCTCTATAGTTTCATGGAATAACTTAGCAAAGTTAAACAAATAATGTTATTTTTCAACTTCCCAGATTTGCGTTGTTTTTGAAATAAATAACACGACTGAATAAAATCTTAATCCATTTGAAAGTATATTTAGAAATATCACTCGTCGAGAGTGAAATAGACTCAAATTTTTTTGATTTCAATAATTTTTAAAAATATGTGTGAGTGACACGATGCTTTTTCTTGAATGTCCCAAGAACGACAGAGAAAAATGCTTTTTTTTTTCAGTTTTTAAATTGGCCGTGTGTGGCTTAGTGGCTAATGTGCTACGCTGTAACTCCGAAGATCCGTGGTCCGCGCCCCGGAAATAAAATCACGCTCTGCACATTAGGGCTGTGGGTGCTGTTGATTAGCTGTCTTTCTCTTACTCAAAATTAGGGATAGTTAGCGCAGGTAGTCCTTGCTTAGCTTTGCGCGAATATCCGAAACAAAACAAACCTGTTTCTAAACAACCACATTCCACAAACTCTATCGAACAAATTAGTCAGCTCTACTAATAAAACATTTCTTTATTATAAATTTTGTAAAATATCACAGAAGTCTCAATCTATTTAAATTCAATAAAAATTATTAATCGCCAGACAGTTATGTATTATTCATACAAATGTTGTATGTGAGAAAATACTGTTAATTTGATTGAGAAATGTTAATAAAAATTGAATTATCAGTTGAATTACCATTGAATTGTTATTTATTAATAAATGCTACAACTGGGAGTTTATCTCATTGCGGGCCGGGCGTGACCTAGTAGTTAGCATGTCGGGCTTTAGGTCGAAGGGTCCGAGGTTCGAGGCATTATGTCACTGAACATACTAAGCACTTTTCAGTTGTGGGTGCGTTATAAAAGTAACAGATAACCTCGTTATTCGATTCAACCAGCCGGACAAAGTTCTTGTGGCGACAGGTACTGTTGGCTAGCTGCCTTCGCTCAGGTTAATAAGGATCAAAATTATGAACGGATATACCTGATTACTAAGAGGTTTTTTTTTTTTTTTTACCTTACTGCTTAGTTTACGTACGCAGAAGAGCTTAAAATTATTTATAGAATAACACTAGAGAATGTTTTTTCTTTATTTGTTGTTAAGTGCAAAGCTACACAATAGGATATCTGTGCTCTGTCCACCACGGGTATTGAAACCCGTTTTTATGCATTATAAGCCTATAGCATTACCGCTGTGCTGCTGGGGGTGCTAGAGTATGACTAGACAACTTTAAAAAACAAAAACAAAAAAGATGTTCGTCGGTAAATTTTTAAATTTGCTAAAAATCAAGGTAAGGTGCTGTGAAAAGTTGCGTTTTTGTAGTCATGTGAACGGTTTTGATCTTACAATTTTCCAAAACATATTATCATAAGATAATGTATTTATCAATTCATTTTTCTTCAATAAATGTATTCCCAATTGCACAACGTTTATTCAAATTCATATAATAACGTCATTGACCCCAATAGGATCATCCAGTCTCAGAATACATTTAATGATCCTACACAACGGCAGTACGTTTGTTTGCTTCGGATATTTGCACAAGATAGACTTAAAGGAAGGCAGCTGGCCATCGGCATCCACCGCCAACTCCTGTGCTATTTTTCTCTGACCGAACAGTGGGATTTCATTGTCTCTCTTAGAGCTCATTTATGCCCCCAAATTGCAGAATGTGTTTTTGTGACAACGGGATATGATCCACGAACAATCCGGACACACAAACTACTGAGCTACACCCGACCCTATGGCTGTGAAGAGTGCTTGTATGTTTGTTTGTAGTTAAGCACGAAGTTACATAATGGGTTATCTGTGCTGTGCCCACCACAGGTATCTAAACCCGATTTCTAGAGTTATTAGTCTACAGATTTTCCGTTGTGCCACTGGGGGAAATGTTTCCCAACTGTAGCTGAAATATAAAAATAAATCCTAAAAATATATACGATCAGGAAACATTATACATATACATATTTTTCAAATGTATTTGCTCCCAACTAAAAATAGAAATATATATATATATATATATTTTAAAAAGTTAAACATTATTATCGGTAAATCGTTTTATTTTAATTTTGTTTTAAGTTCATAAAATATTTAATGAGAAAATTATGATAAAATAAAATTACACTGTATTAAAATAAAATAAAATAACACAATTGTTATTATTTCAGGTTTTTCTTTACATTTTGCCTAGCTTTCAAATTTCATTTCAAATATTCGCTTCTCAGTTTAGTTGGTTTTGAAAACTGCAGTTGTAGTAAATGTATCTGAGCTTCTGTTTTCCGTGACATTTTTCAAGAAAAGTATCTTCTGAGAAAAATGTGGGTTTGTAATAGATTAGTGAATCAGGAAAGTTTTTACTTATTTATTTTGTCCAAGGAAGTCCTGACAACGCCCATGATAAGTTCACGTATTCTACAAATTAAATATGGGCTTAAATTGTAACTTTTTAAGTATTATACTGCATATATAAATAGAATTTCAGAGCAACTTTTGTTTCTCATCGTCCAACACAACTGATGAGTTCTGGTATTACACGAAAGGCCTCTTAGGCAGTGACTTGTAGGAGATAAAATATGTTGTTTTTGAGCAAATCCACACTATGGGCTATCTGGGCTCTGTCCAACATGAGGAATCAGTTCCGGATCGTAAATTCGAAACTTACTGGTGACTCACAGGTAGGCGAGACAAAATATAAGATAGATCTAAGGAGCTTTTTATACATTTCTGATTTTGAATCTGAAATGAACAAATTAAGAGGAATGTGAAGAACAAAAAACAGCATATGTAACTTATGTGGTTTTTATCATAAATTTCTTGCCAAAAGGTTAAACATTTAAAACAAGAGCAATAAGAGAGATTACATATCCTCGCCCCGCCGCAAATTTTTGGATTTTTGGTTTCTATGTGCACCCGAAATTCGGTCCTAATCCAATCACTTTTTACACTGTTATTATCAATAAATTGATACAATGCCTATATCTCCATCATAAAAATGTTTCAAAGTGATCCAGAATCCGGATCCGGACAAAATTTAGGGAGGACCGTCCTATGGGGACACCCTATCTCCTATAAAAATTTCACGTAAATCGGTTTATTATTTTTCGAGACACGCCTGCGGACATACATACATACATACATACATACGTACCCGAATGCAATACCTTCGCCTCCCTCCTCCTCCCGGGACGAAGATGAAAAAACATTCATGTAGTTCAAAATACAGAAGACCTGCATAAAAATTATAAAAATTACATAAATATATCTGACCAAAGATATATTCTAAACTAGTTAGAGAATGGTGTTTGTTTGTTTGTAGTTAAGCACAAAGCTACACAATGGGCTATCTGTGCTCTGCCCACTGTGAGTATCGAAACCCAGTTTATAACAGACATAATGTTGTGTCACTGGGGGCAGGGAATGGTGAAATTCATATTTACTTAATTTATTAAACCTCAATGTTTTTCATTTTATTCACTTGAATAGATAAACTGTTTAAAAAGCTATGGGGTTCAAATTAATTAAATGCATTCCTGCTTTTTCAGTCTTTGAGCCGTTTTCTCCATTATTGAATAAAACTGTATTGCTAATAATGCTATATTAACGCCAAACTTAAACTACAAAACTAATTAAAAGCAAGCAACGGGTTCAATCTTTTGAATGATGCAAGGTACAAATATAAATTACCGATATGGGTCTACAAATGTTTTGGTTGTAGGTGGCGTTATTATTTGGGAAAACATTCCCGAGTATTATGAAATATATGTCACACAGTAATACTAAATAGTAAATATCCTATTTTATATTTAGAGCTTGAAGAAATTTAGAACTTAAAGTATGTTTAGTTTGTTTTTCATAATATTTGCATTTTAACAGATATTAGTTTTCGTTATGGAGTGTGGTTCATATGTGTTACGTTAGGGTTACAGTCACAATCGTTACAGCGGTTACACTACAACACATGTATTGGCTTAATCTAGTACTAGTATTACTATTATTAGTGCATCAGAACTAGGATCTTTAAACTTTAAGATTTACACTTAATTACACCCTGTTAAATCTTTTTTTATCGGCATTTAGTTCATTTAATAAATGTATATTTTATTTTTGTTTCACAGACCTTCCAATACAGTAGTGAAAAAGCAACTGAAGTAAGTTCTAAGTCACTATGGCTTCATCAACACCAAAGCATCATGTTTCAAGTATGAGAAAAAGGTGACTGTTTATTTATTTTCATGGCGTTGTTGTTATACTATAGAATAGAACTTCACTGTGTTCAGGATTTAAAAAGTCCATTGTTTTACTTTTGATATATGTTGTGTCCTTGGGATCCATGTAATTGTGACATGAGCTTGGAATTTAGTGGGCTTTGTCCTTAAATATATCGTTGAAGATACATTTGTTATAGAAAGGTTATAGAAATACATATGAAGAGTTATATATGGTGTTGCCAAGAAAATTATATATTTATTCCATGAGATTTTTATACCATAAAATCAGATGCATGGATTTCTTTTAGCCTCAAAGTATGTTGAAAATTTTATGACCCAACCCAGAGAAAAAATTTTAATTTTTTAATAACACTGTTTGTGTTTTTTTGCAACATAAAAGCATAGCCAAAAATTAATTAAATAAGGATGAATAATACAAAGCTAATTCAAACTAAGTGTACATACAAAAATTTTGTACTTTTGCATAATAATTGAAAACTACAATTTTGTGGGGTTTTCTTCCAAAAAAAAAAAATTGTTGCTGTACCCCCAACTATATAGAAAACAATGAATTATATCCACCATTTATTTTTAACAAAATAATGAATTTTCTGAACCTCTATTTGGATGCTGTTTTCTACTATTACTGCTGATGGCAACCTAGTCCATAAGTTAATAATATTTTTGTAAACATAAAATTGTCTTAAAGGAGTCTTGCTTGTGTTTTCTAAACTTTCTACTTGTGTCTTCAAAATATGAAACAAAGAAATCAAAACTTTTATTCTTTTGATAATCATGCTTACCTCCCTTTTTTTCTCAAGAGAAAATAAGATTTCTTAATCTTTCCATCCCTATTATCGTCCTAGTACTAAGTAATAACCTTCTTCTGAACCCTTTCTAGTAAGTTAATATCCTTTCTTTGATAAGAAAACTAAAACTGTACACAGAATTTTAAGTAAGACCTAATCAGTGTTTTGTATAAACAGATTATTGCTACTTTTGACTAGTAATCAATGTCTATAAATATATCCTAAAATTCCATTAGTCACTGCTGGTAATTGTTATGTGTTAATTGGAATAAACATGACTTGTAATTAAATGGAGGTTATTGGACTTTATAGGTCTTTGTCAAAATGTGAAGAAAGTTTTTGCTTCATATACTTTGGTTTTTATCAGAAGCGTACAAAATAGTTCTTTTTTTATAAAGTCATAAATTCTTTCTTAGAATTAACAATATGTCAGATCTTCCTTTAAGTGAAATAAAAAGTTCTTTCATAAATTCAATATCAAATGAACCATTTAAAAATTATTCTTTTGTAGAATTAGCATTTAATTTGGTAAATGCTGTAAACCACTGAAGGAATTTTAATTCTAACAAAATAATTTAGTCTGATAACTATTTATTTTTACTTTTTATGAAACATGCATTAGCAGCAATACAAAAAAAAAACACAACAACAAATAATAAATTATTGAAGAAGTGATTCCACAGAGTAATTAACAAACAATTTCTGATAAAGTCTTCCTCCAGCATGCTTTGTTACTCCTTTATACAGAGCAGACATATTTAATATAGAATTTTTTTGGATTTAGTGACTGTGTGCTTATTATCAGTGTTTATTATAACATGAATAAAATCAAGACATTTTTAAACTCAAAACAAAATTTTATTAAATATCCTTATCTGTATATCATTGTCCACGAGATTTTTTTGTTTTAATATTATCAAGAAACTTGGTGGTTAAATACAAGACTTTGTGAACACCTGACAACAAAGTTTATTACTAGTTTATTACCTAATTTATTTTCAGATTAAGTACCCCATATGCAAGACAACTTAGTGCCAGTTTCAAATCTCCAGTAAGTATTATTTAAACATTAAGATTACTTGTGTAATAGCAGAAAATGTTTCAATTCAATATAGAATTTCACTCAATTTGCATTCTAACAAAACAAAATCAGTGTTCCTGATAATATTGTTCTGTAAAGAGTAATCACTCCCAGAATTTTGTCAGTGGGAATGATTTTATATTTTTTTACAAAATATACAGTAGTAGCATTTTGTGATAAAAAGTAAATTAATTAATTGGGAATTACTTTTATTGAATATAAGTTTCAAATGGACAGCAACAGCGTTTCGTCTTCAGGTGTAAGACTTTCGAAACGTAGTCCTCTACATATGTAGGTTTCTACAACAGGCAGTTGTTGTCCATTTGAAACTTAGATTCATTATGAATACTCTGCCTAAACAAGCTATCAAAGATTAATTAATTTTATTGTTTCAAAAGGTGAAAATTGGCACAGTATTAATTTAGCAAATTAAACCACCAGATGTAGTCCTAATAAACACAAATAATGAAATTATAATTTTTTTTCTTTAATTTTTTTTACACAAAATTGGACAATTCACTCGTGCACCAATAGAAACTTCTGGCAGTTGGAAAGTGTTTTTTGTAGCTTTACTGTGTGAACTGCACAGATCTTGTGCTGACCTACAGAAAGCTACAAGAATGCACCCATTAATTACTGTACTGCTGTTAAAGAGCCAGAAACTGTATTCGATTTTTCCATGAAAGTAAAAGCAACTCATATTTTTTAATCTCCTAAGCAGTTGAGTTTTGGTTGGGAATTACACCAGTACACGCCTTATCTGAAGCACTGACAAAATCAAATATTTGGCCACTAAGATATGCTTTTTCTAAAAGTTCTCTGGCAATGTTGATGCTGTGAGGACTCACCCCACCTTCAAAGGTTTTAATTAGTCATCCCTGTTTAACAGAATTTTCAGGACTCAACAAAAACATTCAATATCGAAACAAAATTTTAGAAAATCACACAGCAATTTTCTTTGATAGATTTTTTCGGCAGAGTATTCATCGTATTATACGATGGGCAGCAACAAGCGTCTCTACAACAGACAGTTGCCATCCATTCTACAAAGTTTCAACACAGCAATCTTCTTTGATAGATTTTTTTGGCAGAGTATTCATGATGCAACTTTATACGAAGGGCGGCAACAAGCGTCTCTACAACAGACAGTTGCCATCCATTCTACAAAGTTTCAACACAGCAAAATAAGTCAAAAATGTGTTCAAATATGCTTATTGCACATGCATTTTTGGTAAAAGAAAAATGTGCTGTATTTTTTATTAGTATGAAATACTCTGAACATTGGCTTTTAAAAAAATCATTTTGAAGCTTTAACATTATATGAAAACTATGGTTTAAAAGCTACGCACTTTAAAAAGTTTTTTTTGTTAAATCTTAACACACGCAAATTAACAAGTATCCATAAGAGTCTCTCTTAGTAGGCCTTACACTTATACATGTAATTGTTTTTTGTGTATTCTCTTCCTCTTGTTCTTTATATTCATATACATTGGATTAATAGACATCTGTTTTCCCAAAATTACATTACTCTGCCAGCAAAATTCATTAAAATTATACAAGGTTTATAAACTCGTAGTATTTTAAAGTCTAATCTAAAACTAAGGATTGTCAGATCCGTATTGGAAAAGTTGTTTGGAATACTTCTTTCTAAGCAACACTTGCACCTTCAGGGTCATAAATTTGTAACGGGTCAAATGACCGGGTATATAAATTTGACCATTAGAAAAAAAATTGGCCCAGCAACCCTGATGGACAGATATCCATTTTCCAAAATTATATTATTGTAAGATATAGTTTAGTGTGTTTGTTATCTTAAAACCAAGAAGTCCGGTCTCACATTTCTATCCCTAACCCTCTGAAGGAGTTCTTTATCCTTCCAGTTTACAACTTCCGATGCCATTTACTCCTACTTTCAGTATGAAAAGGAGAATGCTCCTTGGCATAAGCAACTAAACTGTGAACATGCTCTGCAGTGTCCTGAACTTTAGCACCTAACAAGAAAATTCTAGTAAAATATTCTTATTAATATATTTCTTGTTTTTGTTTCATAAAATGCGATTTACATATTAACAGACATATATGTATTGTTCTGAATGAAACAACGCAGATGATGAATTAAATAAGGCTATTCAACTTTTATCGCCAAGGTTATGAAATCAAATAAAGAGACTCCTAAACAAACTTCAATTCTCACTCTTGAGGAAATGCAAGAACAGATTTCGTTGTTGGAAGAAAGAAACCAAGAACTTGATATGGAAATAGAATTACTTCAGTCACAGTGAGTCTCGTTAATGTGGTCTGCATATATTACTCATCTCTTTTAGGTACAAGTTTTAACCTTCATTGTTAACTTGTGACTGAAATGAATAGTTTTGTAGTTGGAATGTATGATGATTTTTAAACATAAATAAAATTGTTTAAAATATTCATATGTATTTGATGTAACTATGTAAATTTATTTCTTTGAAAGATTATATATTATAAAAAGAATATTTAGCAGTACTGGATAATATTCATGATTCACTTTAAGGTAGAAGATCCTATAGTTTTAAAATTCACTTTAAGGTACGGGATTCTGTAGTTTTAAAATTCACTTTAAGGTACGGGATTCTGTAGTTTTAAAATTCACTTTAAGGTACGGGATTCTGTAGTTTTAAAATTCACTTTAAGGTACGGGATTCTATAGTTTTAAAATTTGCTTTAAAGCAAAAGATCCTATGGGTTTCAAATTCATATTAAGGTATGGGATTCTGTAATTTTAAAATTGGCTTTAAAGCAAAAGATCCTATGGGTTTCAAATTCATATCAAGGTATGGGATTCTGTTGTTTTAAAATTCCCTAAAATATGGGAGCTTATGTTTTTAAAATTCATATTAAGGTAGAGAATTCTATAATTTTAAAATTCATTTTAAAGTAGGATTCTATAATTTTAAAATTCATTTTAAAGTAGGATTCTATAATTTTAAAATTCATTTTAAAGTAGGATTCTATAATTTTAAAATTTACTAAGGTACAGGATTCTATAATTTTAAAATTTACTAAGGTACATGATTCTATAATTTTAAAATTTACTAAGGTACAGGATTCTATAATTTTAAAATTTACTAAGGTACAGGATTCTGAAGTTTAAAATTTACTAAGGTACAGGATTCTATAATTTTAAAATTTACTAAGGTACAGGATTCTGAAGTTTAAAATTTACTAAGGTACAGGATTCTATAATTTTAAAATTTACTAAGGTACAGGATTCTATAATTTTAAAATTTACTAAGGTTCTGGATTCTATAATTTTAAAATTTACTAAGGTACAGGATTCTGAAGTTTAAAATTTACTAAGGTACAGGATTCTGAAGTTTAAAATTCACTAAGGTACAGGATTTTATAGTTTAAAACTCAATAAGGTATAGGATTTTATAGTTTAAAACTCAGTGAGGTACAGGATTTTACAGTTTAAAATTCACTAAGGTACAGGATTTTATAGTTTAAAACTCACTAACGTACAGGATTTTATAGTTTAAAACTCACTAAGGTACAGGATTTTATAGTTTAAAACTCACTAAGGTACAGGATTTTATAGTTTAAAACTCACTAAGGTACAGGATTTTATAGTTTAAAACTCACTAAGGTACAGGATTTCATAGTTTAAAACTCACTAAGGTACAGGATTTTATAGTTTAAAACTCACTAAGGTACAGGATTTTATAGTTTAAAACTCACTAAGGTACAGGATTTTATAGTTTAAAACTCACTAAGGTACAGGATTTTATAGCTTAAAACTCACTAAGGTAGAGGATTTTAAAGATTTAAGTCTCATTTTAAGATACGTGATCCTGTAGCTTTGAGAATGTAAACTTTGGATATGAAAAGCTTTTTGTACTTTTTTTACGTGATGTTTACATTAAGGGCATGACTCGTATTTTGTGTGTCCAGGTTGCAGCCAAATAACGGTGCTTTAAGTGTACATACATGATCTGGGTGTGTTGCATTTGCATGAAATTAAGTTAGAGGAGTATGATTCTAAACATTTGAAGTAGTTTTGAATACAGATACTTATATCGTAAGCCAACTAATCAACAAATAGCCATTTAAACCATCAAAGCCTCTTTGTCTCTGAACACCAGTTACATTCCTGTAAAAAAAATAAAGATAACTTTTTCTGAAGTGTTCAGTTTTTATTGATTTTTCTAAAATATTTCTAAAAATTTGGCTTATTAGGAAAAAAAAGGTCCTGTTTCTTAGAGTCAGAGGATGTCAAATATCTCGGACGTTTAGGAGTCAACAATTAAAGTCAGGATAGCAATAATACAATGATAACCAGTTTTTAGGACACCTTGTACGCTGAATGAGGTTTAACGTTCAATGACTTTATTTAACCCTTAAATTGGTGATTTAATTCTGCCATTTATCACAGGTAGGGGTCACTTATTATATTATATTTTTTGTCTTTAACAACACACTATAAAGAAGTTACTGAAATAAATTAGGTCAAATTTTATATGTAAAGTACACTGGGGACCTCATAGTAATTAGTGGGATTAATTGAAATATCAATGTCATTTTTTTATATGACTCGTACATTATTAGCATGGGCGACCACAGAAATATTTTCAGTGGAGGCAAAACACGTATGTAGGGATCAGCTTTTACAGTGTAAGTCAATAGACAAAACAAACATGTGTTATGTGTGATTAAACATGGTTGTTAGGGACTCTGTAACCAAAAAAATCATGCAATTTGGTACATAAACTGCTTTAAAAAATGTTTCAAAAAACAGGTGGTTAAATTTGTTTTCTTTCAATATGTATTGATATTAAAAAAAGGAATATTTTTAAAATTTCTCTTCTCATGTTCAGATGTTATTAATATGTTTCAAAAACAGGTGGGGTTCTGGGATTAAATTTGTTATCTTTCGATATGTATTGATATTAAAAAAAAGGAAATGTTTTAAAATTTCTTTTCTCATGTTTAGATGTTATTAATATATCAACTTCAGAGTTATAAATATGGTAAAGAAATTGTGACATTAATTATTGGTATCTAATTTTTCACTTAAAGATTTCATATTTAGGAATTATGATATTAAAGGAAAATTCACCAAAAATTAAAATTTTAAAGTACTCGTGATTATTTTAATCTCTAATTCATTTAGGGGATTCAGAATAGAGGAACTACAATGGCACATCGACAAACTTCATGAATACAATGAAATTAAAGATGCTGCTCAGTGTGTATTAGGCCAACTTGGTGAGTTTCTATTCCTTGTACTGTTTTATTGTTTTTTTTATATTGAATGCTTGTGTTTAGAATGTCACAGTCACATGTTAATAGTTTATACTCTGATTGGCTGTCGTCTGACTAATCAAACACTGCTATATTAGCATAAGTACAGACAGTCTTACTATTCCCAGCAGTAGTGTGGTGAATGCACTGATGGCTCCCAGGATAAAAATTCCACATGAAGAATGTGTAGAAATCAAAGTACTGTCTGATTAAGGCTTTTCCATTCATTTGATTGTGGCAAAATTTTATATTTCTGTAGAAGCTGTATGGAAACTCTTAGAACAGAGTATGTTAAAATTTAGTATTAATAGAAGAAGCTGTCAAGGTAGAAAGACCAAAATGTAAGACAATTATGTTAGGTAACTTGGGATGTGAGTTCTTTACACAATACACAACAACCCAATAGAGATCTTGCCAGTAACCTGCTGTAAGTACAGGAATGAATGCTACCTCGAGAACAATATGATATACTTAGGAATGATAACTCAAAAAATTGGCTGAAATGAGAATCAGACTTCAAACAAGAGGATAAGTAAAGCCAGAAGAGGGTGCTTTTTACAGATGAATCTAAAGTAAAACTGTTTGGCAATAGTAGTTTGTTTGTTAGAGGGGAAAATGTATCACAGTCAATTTAGAACATGCTAGGACACAAGTACAAGTATACAGTGGTATTTAAGACCAACACAAAATTGATGTCACCCTGACTGCTGAAAGGTACAAGCAGATTATTATTGTGGTGAAACAATAGTTGGAAGATAAATGAACTTATGTGGAAACTGAAAACATTAAACACAAATCAAACAGCTTGGCTGAAATGTTGGAAATAATGCAGGACATTTGGAAGAATATTTCACAGACATACATTGATAAACCTATGGTGGTATAGAAACAAAACGTACTAATTTGTTTAAGGCAAATACTAATACATTATAAAACTTATTCTCTTTTGTATTTGTTCTATAATAATTTATTATATTAATGATAGATTGACAATTATTCATAGTCTGTGACTCCTACGTAGACTACGTGTATCACCCATGAACTTCCATAATTATTCCCAGTACCTAACGTTTTATAATATTTTTGTCTTTTCATCTTGGAAATTACACTTTATTTTGTAAAGCTTGCTTAACCCTTTTACTGCTCAGGTAAGGTAGAAAACCCCATCTCATGTACACACACAAAAAATAATTATTATTTTTTTTAACCACATGAAATCATAGTAATGACCTCTGTGTAGGCCTGATACAAAATAACAAAAAAGTGCTTGGGTTATAATGTTTTTATCATTTTGTATCAAGACTTCTTGAACCTACGTGTATTTCTGACATTACTCTATGTAAGCTTGAGGGGGGGGGGAGCTGTTGGGTCTGGGGCGACCCTCACTGAGCATGAGATAAGACTGGCAAGCAGGACTTGTGTGTTTTTTTTTTCTAGATATGGTTTCGCATATCTCTCTTATCTCACCCACTAGCAAAGTGTTGGTCATGAATAAAACGACTATTACACTTATCCCACTAATATAAGTCTGAAATTACTGTATAAATATTTACAATATAAACATTTCTTTCCTCTATGTATAAGTGTCGGGGATGACATTTATGTGTTACTGGTACAACCAAATATCAGCTGGGGTTTCAAACGGTGGCGGGAAAACTTAAACATTATATGATCAGTGAAAGGGTTAGTTTTAAAATTACCATTTCAGACGTTTATTAATAATTTGATATTTTAGTATCAAACAAAAGCAACATATAATGTTATATAAAAGTTTACTTGTTAATAAGATATGGTGAAATTCCGCTTAACTGCAGTAAATTTGACTTAAAAACATTTAAGGACTTTTAAGATGATTACTGTACTATAGTTTTTGAAAAATATCATTAATATATTTTAGCCTCGTTAGATGGCGCTACAGTCAAGGAACTACACGAAAGGTACGGTTTGACTATGGACGATTAGTATTGTTTATAACGAAGTTCTATGAATATTTTTAAGTTATGAAATTTTATTTCTTGTTACTTGTTTTCCGAATGACATTGTTTTTGAATAAAAATACACGTGCTATAAACGCCTATGAATTGTGGGTTATCATCTATAGAATTACAAGATTTTTATGACATAACAATTACTTATGCCTAGTTAGACCGAGAGATAAAGTGATGTGCGGTAATTAATGGATCGATTTTTTTTATTCTGTTGAGGCCTGGCGATAATGGTATTTGTCTCGCAGTCTGCAGGATCGAAACCCTTTGCTAAACGTGTTCACCCTTTCAGCAATGGAAGCATTATAATTTGAGGGTCAATCCCACTGACACAGGATAATATTCAGAAAGTTCTCCTTGTTGTTCGTGATGACCTCTGGTGTAACAAGTGCTTGGAAGACATTATCTCAAGGTTGAACTTGCTTCCTCAGTCCTCTGAAGGACCTGGCATGGCCTTGTGGTTAAGACGCTCGTCCTTTCAGCTGTGGGGGCGTTATAATGTGTCGGTGAATCTTTCTATTTGTTGGTAAAAGAGTAGCTCAAGAATTGGCAGTGGATGATGTTGACTAGCTGTCTTCTCTCTAATCTATCAATTTTAAATTAGGGACCGTTAGCGCAGATAGCCCTCGTGTAGCTTTGTCCGAAATTCAAACTAAAACCATTGGACCTTTGAAACTTCCATAAAGACAATGACAGCACATCAAGTCTGTGTAATTATAATATTTTTCGTATAGCAAGTGGAAAGAATATGCCATAATGTACTACTGATGTTTTTTTTACTTGACAACAATGTATCATAGATACAAAATAGTTTCTAAAGGTAAAGTATATACTTTACACAGGTATAACATAAAGAGCAATCAAACAAGAGTATTAAAAAAATACGAATTTTAAAATGAAGTAGGGGTCCTGCTACAAAAAGTAATGAAACAAGAATTAAAAACACGATCATAAATTTACAAAATATAATCCCTACTTTGGCAGCTTTATATACTTATCTGTAGACCAAAGTAAGGATAAAATTATATAATTTTCACAATGACAACCAAAGTAGGGATTTAAAATAGTTTTAAAATCTATACAACTAGTATCACTTTACTTTTTATTGCAGCATTTGTTTTGTTTTGAATACTTCTTATAGAGGTTGTACGAATAACCAATGATAGTCTGTATTATTGTTATAATATTAGTGCTGGTGTTAACCAATGATAGTCTGTATTATTGTTATAATATTAGTGCTGGTGTTAACCAATGATAGTCTGTATTATTGTTATAATATTAGTGCTGATGTTAACCAATGATAGTCTGTATTATTGTTATAATATTAGTGCTGGTGTTAACCAATGATAGTCTGTATTATTGTTATAATATTAGTGCTGATGTTAACCAATGATAGTCTGTATTATTGTTATAATATTAGTGCTGGTGTTAACCAATGATAGTCTGTATTATTGTTAT